TTGCGCCCCACCCCCCCCATGGCAGTGGCGGCAGGAGGCCCACAGAGGAGTCCTGGGCCGTGTTCCCAGCAAAAGGTCATAGAGAGGGGGGATGCATGACCTGGGACCCCCAGACCTCCTTCCCTCTCAGTGAGTGGGCCCCTATAGCCCCCTGGGTGCTGGCAGTGGGAGGCCCAAGGAGGAGCCTTGGGCCATGTTCCCAGCAAAAGCCCATTGAGGGGGGGAGGTGGATCACAGCCCATCTTGTCTAAGACTAGCAGCAGCTTCTCAAGGCCTCAGGCAGAGGTATCCCCAACTGTGCTGACTAAGATCCTTGTAACTAGAGATGCCAGGGACTGAACCTGGAATCTTCAGCATGCATGGGCTTACAGAGAGCTACCCCCCACTGCCAGCTGCTGCCACCTATATTAGACTTGCTGGAGCGCTGGGGCCCAGAAGAGGCCAGGAGAGCCCCCCTGCCGCCTTCATGGGTAGGTGAGGGATCCGTAGGGGGTGGCAGAGGCTTGAGTGGTGGGTGGTGGGAGAGCCTCCCCCCATCTCTTTGCCCTCTTTCTTTCCCTTCTTTCCTGCCCCTTTCCTTTTCTTTCCCTCCTTTTCTTTCTCTCGTTCCCTTCTCTTCCTTCCTCTCTTTTCCTTCTCCTTTCCTTCTCTCTTTCCTTCCCTGTTTCCCTCCTTCGTCCCTTCTCTCTCTTTCTTTCCCTCCTTCTTTCCCACTTTCCTTCTCTCTTTCCTTCCTTCTTTCCTTCCTTCTTTCCTTCCTTCGTTCCTTCTCTTTCTTTCCCTCTTTCCTTCCTTCATTCCTTCTCTCTACTCTCTCTCTCTCTCTTTCCTTCCTTCCTTCTTCTGCGGCCCAACTCTAGGGAGAAGGGGTTTAAAATTTAAACCCCTTCTCTCTTCGCTCCCCCCCCCCAGGGAAGGGGAGGCTTTTGAAGATGCCTCCCACCCCTTTGGCTTCCCCGGTGATGTCAGGGGGTGTTGCATATGCTAATGAGCTATTATGCTAATAGCCTAGTAGCTCATTAGCATACTATATGCTAATGAGCTCCTGCAGCTCTTTTTCTATGAAAAGACCCCTGTATTTTCCTAAAGTACTGAAATTATAACCTGTTCTAATGATATTACCTAGAACACTCAATTAACCATCATCACTCATAGGGCAAGGTTCCCACACACACACATCAGCCACCATATCAATGTATTTTATAGCATGTGTGCATTTTACCTGTGTCTTCCCAGCTGACCAGCTTGATGCCTCCAGTTGCTGCTGGGCCTCTGACAGCTGGCACTGCCAATTTACAACATCCTTAGCTGTCTCCTTCCCCCTCAGCTTGCCTCAAGCTATTTATTTACAGTCCATCTTTCTTACTGAGACTCAAGCTGTTAGGAGCCAACTCTTCCAGAAAGCTCCTGGACAGATGGCCCACTTGTTTGTCTGCTGCAAAGGATAGCTTTGTGGCTCAGAGGAAAGGTTCTGCCAGGTAAGGGAACTATCATCACAGCATTCCCAAAGGGGTGGGATGGGAAGGAGCAATAAGCTTGAGTATCTGGCACATCTGATTAACTGAGAACACCCTTCCCCATGAGTGCTGGATAACAAACCTTTTTACTACATCTTAATTTCATGCTACTTGTTCTAAAGAAATATTCTGCATATAAGCATGTCCTTTTGAATACAGCATTTTAAAGTCACAAAGCATACAAAATGCTAAACCTTGCTACCTGTAAAAAAGTGATTCGATCTTTTAAAAAGCAAAATAAACGTTGGTCAGAAATTTTTGAATATGGTTGAAGCAATATATACGGAGCAAAAGGCGGCATTGATTATCAACTCAGACATGACGCAATATTTCAAAGTACAAAAGAGGACAAGGCAGGGATGCCTGTTGTTCCCGTTACTGTTTATATGGATTTTAGAAGTAATGCTGAAACAAATTAAAGACAAAGAGATACCAGGCCTTACCAACAAGGGCTTCTCCTATAAATATAGAGCATTTGCGGATGACGTTATGTTTATGGTAGAAGACCCAAGACAGAGCATACCAGTGTTGTTGAAGAATATAAAGGAATTTGGAGATCTAGCAGGTTTTTATCTCAATAAAGATAAATCCAAGATAATGTGTAAAAATATGAAGGAAAAAAATAGACAAGATTTACAGGATTTGGTTCAATGTGAAGTTGTAAACAAAACCAGGTATTTAGGTGTTGACAATGAAAAACATAGACCTGTATAAAAATAATTATGACAAACTTTGGACTAAAATTCAGCAGGGTATTTTGAAATGGAACACATTGAACTTATCGTTGATGGGAAGAATTTCAGTAGTTAAAATGAATATTTTACCACGATTGATGTTCTTATTTCAGACAATACCA